AAAAAAAATTCTCACTGATTCCCGCACAAATACAGACAGCAAGCACCCGAATTTCAACTGCATCAAAATTGCTTCACCCATACAGCAAGTCGATGATGAGACCAAACATTTCGGCAAATCTGAAAACAATCAGACATTCAGTGCAAAAAAAAAATCGCTATTTGCTAGCACTTTGGCTTGGCTCCCTGACCTTTTGAAAACAAATTCGCAGCGTCGTGCCGCCAAAATAGAGCCAAAATTAGTTCAACAACTTCCAACAGTGAAACATATTATGTAATAAAGCTAAAATTGAAAATTTTTGATAAATTAAGGGCTACTTTTTTGTACTAAGATTCTTAATTGACATTTTTCGCCGCTTTGTAACTACAAAATTCCAAGCAATCTACTCGACAATATTAAAAATAAGCAAAAATTAGAGATTTAAAAGCAGCAATGAAAAACACCACAATCGTATTTCTTTCTCAGATATGATATGAGCATACGAAGATTGCCCAAGCAATCAGTGTGGGCATGTGTAGATTCGGTCAGTATTCTCTGTCTTACTCCAGTCAGCATTCCTAACCTAAGCCTTGTCTTCTTTTCACCGATTTCAGGGCCTGTTACGATGATTTGCCGCAGAAGACATTCATGTGTCGAAGTGATATTTAATCCAGCTGCAGCATGCGATGGCCACTTAATACCTCATCCACAAGAATGTGCCAAACAGCGGCCAAAACATAGTCTAATTCGTTTTTCTTCGCGCTTAACATAGGCCAAAACCTCTTCCTCTCGTATCTTTCTGGAACCAAGTATTACCAATAAACAATTTGTTCGTTTCCACCACACAGCTACCCCAGCTAACCCATCCTCCCTCTTGCAGTGCCGTTATATGCCAACATAGTTCTCACCGATCTGTGATGAGTGAAACTAAAAAGAGGCGATTTGCACAGGCCTCCTTCTACTAGACGGTAAATCCGACTCCGTCAACATCCTTTTGTCTTTCTTCAATGCAAAGCAGAATCGTTTTTCCATCCTTCCAAAGAACGATATGTTTAGCCCTTCGTTGTGCTTGGCACAGTCACAAGGCACACACAGACATAAAAATAATGGTAAAATTTAAAGAGTTTAGATACAGAGTTACAATTAACAGCTGTTCAAAATGTGATAAAATCATTCAGGCTGATTAACATTATTTTCCTAAACATCTATCTTTCACATTATCAGCATCTCATTCAGTTTGGCGCTTGCTGATGGCATTCTCTCGAAGGATACCCCTCAAGTACCGGAACAGATCGGTAGGGCTCGTGAATACCCGATCATTAATACCAACATTACCGGTCTTGACATCACAGTAAGCTTGGATCCCTTCATCCCGAAGGATCCTGTTCCCATCTGTGATAGGGCTATTTTTTGTTCGTCAAGGGTCAACAGAAAATTTCAGTGATGTGTTACAGCACAACAGGGGAGGCAACGTAAACGAGGATAGTGGATTGGTGAAGAGGGCGACGACGAAATATGCCTCGAACTTTCAAAGAAAGAGCTTACAAATGGAAGTGAAATATGAACGAACCAAGCAATCAGAAGAGGATTCGATTTACGCCTGCGCCTTCTTAAATACTGTCGTATGTCGAGCAGTGCAAACTCCTCGCTGGACGATTCACGTGGTGGAGCGGACTTAACACCAGGCCGCCTCTCCACACGAATGACCGGCAATGAAAGTCGACGCGAAGATTGTTGCGAGTGGGACGAAGAATGCTGCTGGTGCTGTAAGCCAGATGGTCCTGGACGATCCGCACTACTGCTCGTTCCGCTTGGTTCTCCACGTTCACTGTGACGCAGTGTTATACAAACATCACCAACCTGTAGGAAAAAAAAAAAAAAACTTTCCATTACTTTTTTATTTTTTTAAAGAGTCTGTAAGTTTGGCGCCAAATTATGCGGAACAATGGGACCCAATAAAAACAATGTCCACGAGCTCTCATCCTTTTCTAGTAAGGAGTTATGAAGAAAAAACAGAAAAAAAATAAAAAAGTAAAAACAAAAAAAATAAAAAAAGTAACAAAACTGCACTCACTTCATTTGATGAATACCTCCTGCAGTGGTGTGTCTAGAAAAAGAGTGGAAAGAGGAGAAGGTAGGAAGCGTTACCCCTCTTTTCCTGGTAAAAAAAGCTAAAGTCGCCTGCGCCAAAAAACTGTGATAACGCAAAAGGGAATCCATACCAGCTGTAACAGAGCAAAATTTCGTCAAGAGCGGGAAAGGCAAAGTAAAATTTCAGCAGTTGAGAGTAAAACTCAGCCAAAGATGTGCCAAATCCAACTAAAGGGGTGGCTCAAATCAATTACAAGAATGCCAAACTGCGTTAAACACCATAACCACTTTATAAAAACGCAAAAACAGGACATTTTATAGTCCCAGAATTAAAATTTAAATTTAATCATACTTAGATTTAAATCATATTTAATTTAAGTCCCAAAATTAACAGCCATATTTAAATAGACGAATGCCAAAAAATCGGGGAAATAGCAATGTCTTGAACAAACTTCTGCAGTTTTGAGGAAGAAGCTGGACCGCAAACCAGGAGGTGTCGAAAATGGAGTGCACTTTTCCTGAGTTGGGCTGGATACATGATCCCGTAGCCCGTGATGAAAAGCGAATGGGAATTGAGAAAGTGACAAGCAATGAGCAGCGCATGGCATGAAGACATTACATGCATCATCTTAACGGCACTAAAACCAATATAAAATGAGGCTAGAAATAACAAAGAAAACATACACTGAGTTGCCGGCAAACCAGTCCATAGGTGAGTCGCGTTCTCTCTGGACTGCACGATGCCCAACCGCGGCCAACGATGAAATAGGGGTGCTCGGCTCCTGATTCAATTGTCACCTGAAAATGCACTTCATCGTTTTTCAATTCGTACAGATTCATTTTTATGCGTTTTGTGCTGTGTAACAGCAGTACAAAACGCATATTGTTACGGGGTTGTCT